CAAAAGCTTGTCTCTCTCACCAACAGAGGTTGGCCCATTAAAAGATATTCCCTCACCCACATTGTCTCTATAAAATTAACATGGCACACATTAAATGAATTAAAAGCTGGTTAACTGATAGGTCTCAACATGTAATTGTAAATGGGGAATCGTCATTGAATGGGTGTGTTTTTAATGGGGTCCCGCAGGGATTGGTTCTTGGTCCTGCGCTGTTTAACATTTTTATCAATGATCTGGAGGAAAACATAAAATCAACCCCCTGCTCTGGGCTGCTGTTCTCTCCCCGGCTCTGCTGCTCTGCTCTGGCCTGCTGCACTCTCCCCAGCTCTGCCTTACTCTGCCCTGGCAGCCCCAGCTCAAGCAGAGCATGGGCCCTGAGCTCTTGGCTCCATCATTGACTTGCCCACCCTGACAATCTGGCTGACTTGGAGTGCTGGCCTCTCCCCATTGGCCCTGGGGACTGTCAGTCCCAGGATCCTGACTCCTCTTCAGCCCTTCCCCTTTCTCTTGGTATTGCGAGGGGGCCAACCAAAAAGCCACTACGTTTCAGTAAGGGGCCAACAGCCCCCTACACATCTCCCAACTGAGCCTCCCAGCTATTGCACTGCTAATGGTGTGATCGCTGGGAATGTGAAGAAAAGTGCCCTGTAGGAACAGGGATGCAGGAGCCACTGTTACCCTCATGGGGTCTATTTTGATCATGTCTTGACCACAAATTGATTTACACATTTAGGGCCAGATTCTGGTCCCCTGACTCATGTTGGGTAGCACCAAGTCACTGAAGTCAGCAGGGCTGCTTGTACATAAGAACATAAGAACGGCCGTACTGGGTCAGACCAAAGGTCCATCTAGTCCAGTATCCTGTCTGCCGACAGTGGCCAATGCCAGGTGCCCCAGAGGGAGTGAACCTAACAGGTAATGATCAAGTGATCTCTCTCCTGCCATCCATCTCCACCCTTTGACAAACAGAGGCTAGGGACACCATTCCTTATCCATCCTGGCTAATAGCCATTAATGGACTTAACCTCCATGAATTTATCCAGTTCTCTTTTAAACGCTGTTATAGTCCTAGCCTTCACAACCTCCTCAGGCAAGGAGTTCCACAAGTTGACTGTGCGCTGTGTGAAGAAGAACTTCCTTTTATTTGTTTTAAACCTTCTGCCCATTAATTTCATTTGGTGGCCCCTAGTTCTTGTATTATGGGAATAAGTAAATAACTTTTCCTTATCTACTTTCTCCACATCACTCATGATTTTATATACCTCTATCATATCCCCCCTTAGTCTCCTCTTTTCCAAGCTGAAAAGTCCTAGCCTCTTTAATCTCTCCTCATATGGGACCCGTTCCAAACCTCTAATTATTTTAGTTGCCCTTCTCTGAACCTTTTATCTGCCAGTATATCTTTTTTGATATGAGGAGACCACATCTGTATGCAGTATTCAAGATGTGGACATACCATCGATTTATATAAGGGCAATAATATATTCTCCGTCTTATTCTCTATCCCCTTTTTAATGATTCCTAACATCCTGTTTGCTTTTTTGACTGCCTCTGCACACTGCGTGGACGTCTTCAGAGAACTATCCACGGTGACTCCAAGATCTTTTTCCTGATTTATTGTAGCTGAATAAGCCCCCATCATATTGTATGTATAGTTGGGGTTATTTTTCCCAATGTGCATTACTTTACATTTATCCACATTAAATTTCATTTGCCATTTTGTTGCCCAATCACTTAGTTTTGTGAGATCTTTTTGAAGTTCTTCACAGTCTGCTTTGGTTCTAACTATCTTGAGCAGTTTAGTATCATCTGCAAACTTTGCCACCTCACTTTTTACTCCTTTCTCCAGATCATTTATGAATAAGTTGAATAGGATTGGTGCTAGGACAGACCCTTGGGGAACACCACTAGTTACCCCTCTCCATTCTGAAAATTTACCATTTATTCCTACCCTTTGTTCCCTGTCTTTTAACCAGTTGTGGGATACAATGCTGTTCATTCAGTGTGCGTAAGAGTGTCAGAACCTGACCCCCAGTGATTATGGTAGGACTGGCTGACCCTAGATTATTTGGTGACCGCAGAGGAATTGGATTGTGAGTCTCTCTGCAGAGGGGATTTGTGCCGAGTGGCTGTCCAGGAGATATTTGATGGTCAATAACCTCCTGTTTCCCTTCTCTGGAGTTTTTGACATCTACCACAATGTGTGTTTTTGTGGGGGAGGGAATGAAATTCAGTAAAGTTCCTCCATTACTATAGAGACCACTCACCATTCTGTGGTGATCACCCGGCCCGGGGAAAATCTTTGTCTCCCCATATCACCACTCACAACTATGTGAGCTGCATCTCCTAGGTCTGCAACAGTGGGCATCAAGGCACAGAACTATAACCTGCAATCGGCCAGGTGCAGCTCAGCCTCCTAGTCCCCTCTTGCCTGGGGAAAGCAGTTAATCAGAGAACCTTGGTGTAGTAACAAGCTCATTCTCTCTGGACAGGAAATCCAGCTGCAGGTGGTGCAGGGTGAAAATGCACGACTGGCTCAGGAGAACACTCAACTGAATGGGAAGGCTGAATGGGCACGGCAGGTAACGAGGGATACTCTTGTTCCCTCAAGGGAGCATTAGCTTTTATTTTATGTTTATGTCGACATTGCAAAACTCCTCTACCAAGCAGAGCGTATCACAGGACTAAGACAAAGCAGTGGCCCAGATTCAAATTGTAGTTATCAATGGCTGGCTGTGAAACTGGGAGGGTGTATCTAGTGGGGTCCCATAGGTGCCAGTCCCCTGGGTCTGGTACTATGTAATAGTTTCATTAATGACTTGGATAATGGAGTGGAGAGTGTGCTTATAAAATGTGCAGGCGACACCAGGCTGGGAGGGGTTGCTAGCACTTTGGAGGACAGGATAAGAATTCAAAACGACCTTGGGAAATTCGAGAATTGGTCTGAATTCAACAAGATGAAATTCAGTAAACAAGTGCAAAGTGCTACACTTAGGAAGGAAAAAATCAAATGCACAACTACAAAAAGGGGAATAACTGATTAGGTGATAGTACTGCAGAAAAGGATCTGGGGCTTATAGCCTTGGGCGGAAGAGGCAGGGAAGGGGGCTAGCCTCCCTGAACAGGGGTGCACGCGCTGCCCATGGCCTCAGCTGGAATGCTGGGTCCTGTTCTGGGCACCACACTTTAGGGAAAATGTGGACAAACTGGAGAGAGCCCAGAGCAGAGCAACACAAATGTTAAAAGGTTTAGAAACCCTGACCTATGGGGAAAGGTTAAAAACAAAACAACTGGGCCTGGTTAGTCCTGAGAAAAGAAGACAGAGGGGGACCTGGTACCAATCTTCAAATATGTGAAGGGCTGTTATAAAGAGGACAGTGATCAATTGTCCTCCATATCCACTGAAGAGAAGATGAGAAGTCATGGGCTTAATCTACAGCAAGGGAGATTTAGGTTCGACAATAGGAAAAACTTTCTAGCTGTAAGGGTAGTTAAGCTCTGCAACAGGCTTCCAAGGGAGGTTGTGGAATCCCCGTCACTGGAAGTTTTTAAGACCAGGTTGGACAAACACCTGTCAGCGATGGTCTGGGTTTACTCGGTCCTGCCCCAGCGCAGGGGCCTGGACTTGATGATCTCTTGAGGTCCCTTCCAGTCCTACCTTTTTATGATTCTGTGATTCCCCACGGTGATTTCTGCTGTTGTAGTGCTTGATGAGGGGCCTTGTACAGGGTGGTGGATTCCACCATGGGGTGGTTACAGTGAAGGAAAGTGGCCATAAACTTTTTTCCATAGCTGGGGCATAAGGGGGAGGGTAGAGCTGGCTGAGGGCAGGGTGTACCCCAGGGAGCAGGGAAGAGACCCAAGTGCAATTTACAGCTGCCTTTGCTTGATGGAAATCCTGAAGCAACACCAGCTGCACTCCTGGTGTGAACCCCCCTAAGGGTACAGGGCGGGGTAATTATGGTGCCAACTTTGGAGACTGGCTTTTTAGGACGTGACTGCGCTCTCTGGCATTACTCCGAGTAAATAACTGCACAGTGGTCATAACAAACAGGAAAATCAAAATCATACAGATGCACAGAGCAGCAAGGAAAAAAGAAAGAAAATAATTCATCATATTGGCTGCAGGCATTAAGGTAACCATAAGGCACACACTAACGAGTAAAGGAAAGATTTAAAATGTGCATAAGTGGGTGGGAATTGATAAAGGGGATTTGTATAGGGGGCAGGATCCCTCAAAGATGTGGTTTCTTAACTCAGCTCCTTCTCTCGGCATGAGTGAGGCAAAAAGCCAAACTTTGCACTGGGTTTCACACTGAAGACTGGTCATTTTCCCCATGGTTAGGACTTCCTAGATCGTCACAAGCCATCTGTCAGAAAGGGAGCAATACCCTTACACTGGTGATCTTAGTTGCTCATAATACCCAAGTCATAGTTCATTCTGATTAGCTCTAAAGACTAACCATCAGCACTTCATATGGTGAATGTAGGGGAGAACACAGTACGTCCGGTTACAGTTCCGTTCAACCCGAAGCACAAATCTCTGTGTTTATTCTTGTTGTGTCCAGGTTGTGCAGCTTGGCTCTCCACCGTCTCTCCAGCATAAATCATGTTCAGAAAGCCCCACATATGAGACGGGAGATGACTTCAGTAGCAAATGCAGGCTGTGTGAATAACCATTAGTCATAATTAAGAAAGATACAAATATATGAATATTTTCCTAATGTTATGTTTGACCACAAATGGGAGGAGCGGTGCGTTCACATGACTGCCAATGGGATGGGAGGAGATGTGGTGGTCCCGTGGTTGCCAACAGGAGAGTAAAAGGCATAGGTTCATGTCCCTGCCAATGGAAGGTGTGTCTAAGTTTAAGATGTGGTTCAAACTGTGAAAAATGATGGCCCTCTATTATTTATACAAAGTGTGCCTGAGGCTAATACACTATCCTCTCTCCACAGGTGGAATTTGAAAATGCTGACCTGAAGTTGCAGGTTGTTTTAGTTACTAAGGAACGGGATTCTGCTCTTCAGAAGAGCCAAGGACTCCAAACCAAGCTGGAGAATCTAGAGCAGGTGCTGAAGGTTAGTCAGATCCAGAGCCTTTGAAAAGGCTAAACACTGTTTTGATTGGTTTGATCAGGAAAGGACATGAAGTTCCCCCTCTCTTACAGCGTTTGGTCTATCTAAGCTAGTGATCTAGTTAATTTAATGCTATTTCAAGAGGGTCTGTTAGAGCAATGTCTAAGGTCTGCCATAAGCAGCAAGAAGAGAGACTTATGAATGTGTCTCCTTGGCTGTGGGTAATATGGGAGAGAAGTGATTGCTATAATTTCCTATTGCAGTTGGAGATTTACGATGCATCATGATTCCCTGGTGCTCCTTGGTCACCACAGACAATAGACTGTTAGGCTGGGAGCCCACCTGGGCTGCGATACAGTGGAAGGCAGCCAGGTTGGAGGGGTGGCGGTTGATTTCCTGCAGTATGTTCGCATGATTTGTTTGGGTCACCTATGTATAGTTTCATAAGAACGGCCGTACTGGGTCAGACCAAAGGTCCATCTAGCCCAGGATCCTGTCTACCGACAGTGGTCAATGCCAGGTGCCCCAGAGGGAGTGAACCTAACAGGTAATGATCAAGTGATCTCTCTCCTGCCATCTATCTCCATCCTCTGACAAACAGAGGCTAGGGACACCATTCCTTACCCATCCTGGCTAATAGCCATTAATGGACTTAACCTCCATGAATTTATCCAGTTCTCTTTTAAACACTGTTATAGTCCTAGCCTTCACAACCTCCTCAGGTAAGGAGTTCGCTGTTGGTGGCTTTCCCTACTTAGGGAGTTTCTCAAACTGGGCTCCTCTGGCTTCTACAAGAAGGTTCTCATTTCAGATATCTGGTTTTTGACAAGTCCCTTGTCTGTCGAGAGTGACTCTAAATTATGCTGGCTGCTGTGGTCCCACAGGGACTGCTTTGCCGGCTGAGGACTGGCCAGAGTGCTGTGTGTGATGGCCTTGCCCTCTTAGCATACCTGGCATACAACTCCTCTACATGCACTCTGCGTCTGAGGGGGAAGCTGGTGGTGTAAAGCTGCATGAGGCCGCTATGAACCCTGTTCATATTGCTGGCGTGGCTTGGAGAGCACTTTGGGAGGCCAAGGATCTGCCCAGTATGTGCTGGAACTCCGCCCCTGAAAGTAACCTCCCCCCTTTTTAATTAGTCTGTGAAAAACACACGGTCTGTTAATTGCCATCAGGAAAGCATGGAGGATGAGGCCCTCAGTAGAGCTCCGAGAGGCAACGCTTCGACAATGCCTCCCCTAAATTGTGTGTGACTTCTTCTCCAGCATATGAGAGATGTGGCTGAGCGAAGGCAGCAGCTGGAGGCTGAACACGAGGAAGCCCAGCTAGCACTGCAGGAGAAACAAGAGGAAGTCAGATGGTTGCAGCAGGTATGCAGCGAGTGCGAGACAATGAGAAAATGGACCCTTTAACTCTCTGAATCCCCCCTGGAAAGAGATGGAACTCCTGCATTGTCTCCTTGGCGGGACTGTGCAGGGAGGAGGTATGTGTGAGTTTACCAGATAAACTAATCCAGGGAAGTGTGTCTGTGCCAGGGGCAACTCTGATACCTGGGCACTACAAGGGGCTGTTCTCATGCATGACAATTCTAATCTGCAAAGGCTCTTTGTCCATAGAGCAAGGATGTCTCCGGTCCTGTTGTTCTATTCAGGCTTTTAAATCTATCTTGCTGCCTATTGAGATGCTGACAGCGGAAGTGAGCTTTCTGAGGGGTGTTTGATCAGTAACTCCTTGTCTCTTGTTTGACTTCAGGCCCAGGCAGAGGCAAAAAGGGAACATGAAGGAGCAGTACAGCTACTAGAGGTAAGATGGAAAGGCAAAATCAGGCAGGTGTCTGCAAACTTGGTCTCTAATAGCTTTAACACTTCGTTTCTCTGTGGGCTGATGTTCCTGGGTCAGAATGTTCCCTAGCAAACACTGCAAGTGGTAGACCGGTCTCACTACAGTGTGGCGCACGCTTTCAAGAGCTTGACACCTGGCATACTGATCCTCTTGGAAAATCTGCCCTAAGACTGTTTACTCAGTTCAGGTTTTCAGACAATGACCATCACTGTGGTGTCTGTACATCTTCCAGTGATGCATTAAGCAACATAACTGTCATGTCTGCACCCTTCTCCATGACATTCTGCATATGGGTTTTTGGTTGGTTGGTTTTTACGTTATGTGATCTATGCTGTTATTACAGGAGACACAGCAAAGATGCGGCTTAGCTCTTGGAACGGAAAGTGGTGAGGTTTGAGGTAGTTCTTTCATCCGGCAGGAACGAATGCCACAGTCCCCCAAAGTGCCAGTCCCCCCCAGTGCTCTGCCCCCTGCACAAACAAGCTTTAGCGTTGTGGTAGCCAACTCCATTATGCGAGTGGAGAGAAGTGATGACCATAGTTTTGATCCTACGCATGAGGTGATCTCTTAGATAACCTGGGCCCAAACTATTTAGAGGCATGATGACAAAGGACCAACAGTTTCAACTTGATGTGATGATTTAGGGGAATCCAGTGCAATGAGTGAGAGTCAGGTTTGATGCCCAGGGAGTGAGCTGCTGCATTCTCCATCAGTTGTAATTTTCTCAGTGCTGAAGCTTCCAAGCCCAAGTAAGCTGCTTTCTTACAGTGCAGTTGGAGGGTAATGAAGGTATGTGCTGCTGAAGCCAGCTCTTCCTCTCCAGTGATGGAACACAATCAGAAATGGCAAAATACATTTCGTGTGACCTCGGCTCTGTGAGAGCTTGGTGTCAGTGAGGAGTCTATTAGAAACTGTGAAGTCAGCTGAGCAGGTATGGGTATGTGTCTTCGACTGGTGGAGACTGCGCCATGGCTGCACCCTTCACAGAGTTCTCCTCTGCCAACCAGGAGCTCTAACTAACCCTTTTTCATCTCGGTTCTGGGGCATCTAGGTTAGCCTGGTGACAATGGCACTGTTGTCTGTTGTAAAGGGTAAACAGCTAGAGCTGTGTCTCAGCTGCCTCTTGTTGACATTTGACCTTGTGATGTCTCACCAGTTCAGCAGGCTGCTGCATTTTGAGTTGAATAGATCATTGTGGAGCTCCACAAGTGAGAGGCCTGGGGGTGAAGGTGCAGGTTCACATAATGACCCTTGGGCATGTTCCTCCAGGAAGCGGTCAGACTATTCTAGTTCTTTCATTGGCCCCTGCCACCTTGCTTAGATGGGACAGCAATGTCTTGTGGCTGACTGTGTTGAATGCTGCAGAATCCAGAGGTTTGGGAATGGATATCAGCGTTCCATTGACACAAGAGACTGACCACCAGTGCTGCTGTCTGTTTCCTTACCAATTGCTGACCTGAATCTGGATTGTGGCATGTCTAGGATAAAGCTTCTTGTTTAGGGAAGAAAGATTTAATATTTGCAATAGTTAGCTAGGTCCACTAGCTCCAAGGTGCCGTTTTTCAGTTTGGGTTAGACTATTGCATGTTTGAAGGAAGAAGGGGAGATTCATTCTTTGTCTAAGATGTTGGTTATGCCTGTCAGGAGGCTCCAGCAGTTGGTGATCCTTTGTCATAGAATCGTAGAAGATTAGGGTTGGAAGAGACCCTAGGAGGCCACCCAGTCCAACCCCCTGCTCAAAGGAGGACCAACCCCAACTAAATCATTCCAGCCAGGGCTTTGTAAAGCCGGGCCTTAAAAGCCTCTAAGGGTACGTCCAGACTACCCGCCGAATTGGCGGGTAGTAATCGATCTATCGGGGATCGATATATCGCTTCTCGTCTAGAGGTGATATATTGATCCCCGAACGCGCTCCCATCGACTCCAGAACTCCACCAGGGCGAGCGGCGGTAGCGGAGTCGACGGAGGAGCGGCGGCCGTCGATCCCGCGCCGTGAGGACGGGAGTTAAGTCGAAATAAGATATGTCGACTTCAGCTACGCTATTTCCGTAGCTGAAGTTGCGTATCTTACATCGACCCCCCCACCCAGTGTAGTCCAGCCCTAAGGATGGAGATTCCACCACCTCCCTAGGTAACCCATTCCAGTGCTTCACCACCCTCCCAGTGAAATAGTGTTTCCTAATATCCAACCTAGACCTCCCCCGCTGCAACTTGAGACCATTTCTCCTTGTTCTGTCATCTGCCACCACTGAGAACAGCCTAGCTGCATCCTCTTTGGAACCCCCCTTCAGATAGTTGAAGGCTGCTATCAACCCCCCCCTCACTCTTCTTTTCTGCAGACTAAATAAGCCCAGTTCCCTCAGCCTCTCCTCAGAAGTCATGTGCCCCAGCCCCCTAATCATTTTCATTGCCCTCCACTGGACTCTCTCCAATTTGCCCACATCCTTTCTGTAGTGGGGGGCCCAAAACTGGATGAAATACTCCAGCTGTGGCCTCACCAGTGCCGAATAGAGGGGAATAATCACTTCCCTTGATCCGCTGGCAATGCTCCTACTAATGCAGCCCAATATGCCGTTAGCCTTCTTGTCAACAAGGGCACACTGTTGACTCATATCCAACTTCTTGTCCACTGTACTCCCCAGGTCCTTTTCTGCAGAACTGCCACTTAGCCAGTCGGTCCCCAGCCTGTAGCAATGCATGGGATTCTTCCTTCCTAAGTGCAGGACTCTCTACTTGTCCTTGTTGAACCTCATCAGGTTTCTTTTGGCCCAATCCTCCAATTTGTCTAGGTCACTCTGGACCCTATCCTTACCCTCTAGTGTATCTACCTCTCCCCCCAGCTAAGTGTCATCCACAAACTTGCTGAGGGTGCAATCCATCCCATCCTCCAGATCATTAATGAAGATGTTGAACAAAACCGGCCCCAGGACCAACCCTTGGGGCACTCCGCTTGATACCGGCTGCCCCTAACTACACATCAAGCCATTGCTCACTACCCATTGACCCGACGATCTAGCTAGCTTTCTATCCACCTTATAGTCCATTCATCCAGCCCATACTTCTTTAACTTGCTTGCAAGAATACTGTGGGAAACCGTATCAAATCTTTGCTAAAATGAAGGTATATCATGTCCACCGCTTTCCCCACATCCACAGAGCCAGTTATCTCATCATAGAAGGCAATCACGTTGGTCCTCCAAGTGCTTCAAAATGGATTCCTTGAGGACCTGCTCCATGATTTTTCCAGGGACTGAGGTGAGGCTGACTGGTCCATAGTTCCCTGGATTCTCCTCCTTCCCTTTTTTAAAGATGGGCACTACATTTACCTTTTTCCAATTGTCCGGGACCTCCCCCGATTGCCATGAATTTTCAAAGATAATGGCCAATGGCTCTGCAATCATATCAGCCAACTCCCTCAGCACCCTCGGAAGCATTGCATCTGGCCTCATGGACTTGTGCATGTCCAGCTTTTTCTAAATAGTCCTTAACCTGTTCTTTCACCACTGAGGGCTGCTCACCTCCTCCCCATTCTGTGCTGCCCAGTCAGCCCCGTCCCTACCAATTATGGTGTCCTACGCAGCCCAAGCACCTGCTGCAGCCCGCTGAGGGTCTGGGCTGCGCTCAAGGTCTGCAGGGCCGTGGAGGCAGGAGCTGTGGGGGGCCCCACAGGCCCAGAGCTGACCGGGGGATTAGTGGGGGGCCTGGTGCTGGCAGCAGGAAGCAGAATGACCCAGCGCCAGCCTGCTCCGCTTCCCCCACCCCAGCCGTGTCCCTTTGGGGAGGGGTCCGTGCCCCCGCACTCACCGGAAGTGGAGCGACACAGCGGGGAGCCAGAGGAGTGGAGCGGGCTGGCGCTGGGTTGCTCTGCTTCCCGTCACCACCGGTGAGTGCGGGGGCAGGCCTGACCCCTGCTGCCAGCGCCAGGCCCCCCGCTGGGGGAGGGGGCTTGGGAGAAGGGGTGGAAAATGGGGACAGGGTGGGGGCAGGAAGAGGCGGGGCAGGGGCGGAGGGAGTTGTCCTGGGCCCCCCACCCTGCCCCAGGAATGTCCCTGCCCCTGGCAGTGGGGGCACCCCATGGGCCAGCTGGGGAATGGGGCTGTTCGCGGGCACTGCCACATACGAAACACGCAGCTGTGTAGGGCACCACGAAATTTGGGGCAATTTGGTGCCCCAAATGTTGTGGGGCCCTACGCAGTTGCGTATTCTGTGTATGCCTAAGGATGTCCCTGTGCAGCAGTCTGGGAGCTGACCTTGTCTGTGAAGACAGAGGCAAAAAAAGCATTGGGTACTTCAACTTTTTCCACATCGTCTGTCACTAGGTTGCCTCCCTCATTCAGTAAGAGTCCCACACTTTCCCTGACCTTCTTGTTGCTAACATACCTGTAGAAACCCTTCTTGTTACCCTTCACATCCCTTGCTAGCTGCAACTCCAATTGTGCTTACACTCCTGCATGCTCGAGCAATATTTTTATATTCCTTCGTAGTCAGCTGTCCAAGTTTCCACTTCTTGTAAACTTCCTTTTTTTGTTTAAGCTCACCGAAGATTTCACTGTTAAGCCAAGCTGGTCGCTTGCCATATTTGCTATTCTTTCTGCACACTGGGATAGTTTGTTCCTGCGCCCTCAATAAGGCTTCTTTAAAATACAGCCAGCTCTCCTGGACTCCTTTCCCCCTCATATTAGCCTCCCAGGGGATCCTGCCCATCAGTTCCCTGAGGGAGTCCAAGTCTGATTTTCTGAAGCCCAAGGTCCATATTCTGCTGCTCTCCTCTCTTCCTTGTGTCAGGATCCTGAACTCAACCATCTCATGGTCACTGCTGCTCAGGTTGCCACCCACTTCTCCTTCCCCTACCAATTCTTCCCTGTTTGTGAGCAGCAGGTCAAGAGGAGCACGGCCCCTAGTTGGTTCCTCCAGCACTTGCGCCAGGAAGTTGTCCCCAACACTCTCCAAAAACTTCCTGGA